TGATTGTGGATGGTATAATGGACAGATAGAGGGAATAAACAGAATATTTTCAGGACGGTGATCTATAAACTACAGAGAATGGCAAAGATTATTACGTGGGCCTCAGGGTATTTACAACCATATTCATGACTGAGATAAGGTGATTGAGTGTAAATTTGTTGACAATTCAAAGTTAGGTAGGAAAGTAAACAATGACAAGGACACAAAGAAATTGCAGAGAGATCTTGTGATCTTGAAAATTGGACAAGAACAACACAGGTGGACGTGACATTGTGTACGTTATTCACTTGGGTAGGAATAATATTTTGAAAAGTAGAATATTTTTTGATTGGTAAAAGATTGGGAAGTGTTTGCATTCAGAGGGACTGGAGTCACTTTGTACATGAATGTCAGGTGGTTAAGAGGCAGGTAATTAAGATGAATAATTAAGAAATCAATAAATAGTATTGGCATGGTTGGGAAAATGGTGCAGGAAGGAGTGCTTTAGATTCCTGGGACAATGCGACTGACTCTGGGGATGGAGGCAACTGTACAAGATGGGTGGTTACACATGAACAGAGCTGAGACTGAGTTCCTGCATGGTATTTCGCTAGTGCTGTCAATGAGGGTAACACTGTTGATGTGGTGTACATGGGCCCCCAGGAAGCATTTGATACAGTGCCACACCACAGATTCCGTGAGGACAGTGGCACAGGGGTACAAAATTGACTTGAGTGATAGGAAGCAGCGTAATGATCAATGGATATTTTTAGTCCAGGTGAAAGTTGGTAGTGAAAGACATACAATTTACATAGAGAATGCATTCACAGTCAAAGTTTGAATAAATTTACTTAGTGGAGAATATATACTCATTTCTTTGTGCAGTGTGCACAATCTGACTTAATTTCCAGATCAGTGACAGAGTTATTTGTAAATTATCAATGGACAGCATTGATTTACTTCTCGGGAATGATTTGGTTGGATTAAAAGAGCTTCAGCCATAATCAGTGTGTCTGAGTGAGGGTAAAGAGCCAAAACAGTTACAGAACAAAGTTCCACTTATTTTTCCACCATGCATGGTGACTTGATCACTAGCTATACAAAATCCATCACTAGAGATCAAAGTGATGCCATAAACAGATATTAGAGTAACCGAGATATTTTCAAGGATGGAGAAAATCCAAAAGAAATGTGATCCAAAATAAATCGGCTTTAATTGAGTCTGAACAAGCAGTAGATGTTTTAGTGTGAAGTTAGAGTGCAGGTAGAACATGTGGTCAAGGCAGCTAATGGAATGCTATCTTTTATTATGAGAGGAATTAAGTATACAAGTAAGGCTGTTATGCTTCAGTTTTACTGGACATTTGAGAAATCAAATCTTGAATATTGTGTGCGGTTTTTGGTCTCCTTATTTAAGGGAAGCTATAAATGCACGAGAGGTGGTGCAGAACTTTGCAATATTGATATCTGGAATGAGCAGATTATCTTTTGAGGATAAGGCTGGATTTGTTTCTACTGGAGTCTGGAAGAGCAAGGGGTGTATTATTTTAAATGTAAATGTCCAGAGTAGTCTTGACATGGTAGTTATAGAAAGGATGCTTCTTCTGTGGTTCAGTCCAGAATTAGGGAGTACTTGTTTAAAATCAGGGGTTATCCTTTACAGACAGATGATGAGAATTTTTTTTTTCCTCTCAGTTGTGCAAAATTTGGACTCTTTCAAAATATGGTAGAGTTGGAGTCATTTTTAAGGCAGTAGATAAATGCTTAAGCACAGGAATCAAAGATTATCTGGGGTAGATGGGAAAGTGAAGTTCTTATCTAAAAAGACAGACAACTACAGGGGACACAACATACATGTGCAAAAGGTATAACGCGTGCTTAAAATAGCCTAACAAATAAAAATCAACATTCCGATAATCAAAAACTGCCTTGAGAGATGACTATGCTGTACATTTAGTCTTTATTGGCACAACCAGCATTTGTGATGGATCAGCGCCTTTATTTGAAATTCACTGTGAAATTATTTGTAGAATATTTATTTAGCAGCAGTGACTCAAGAAACTGTCAAACAGAACTTTGCTAAGCCCAATTATCCAATTAGCTCCTGCAGGGCACTTAACCCACCACAATGGCTTTTAGCAGGTGCAAAGGAAGTGAATTAACAGAGGCCCAAGTGGATTATAGAAAGTGCAGGCAGGAACTTGAGAAAGCAAGAGAGTAAAGAGGGGACATCAAAAAATTCAGATGGGTAATATTGGGGAGAATCGTATGATATTCTATCAAGGGAAAGAAAATAATCAAGGAAAGGTCCCCATTAGCAACCAAGGGGGTAATCTGTGTGGGGAACTGGAGATCGTTGTTTGGGTGTTAAATGCGTACTTCACTTCGGAGAAGGATGTAGGAACAGAATTCAGGGAGATGGACTGAGAGGTACTTGAGCAGTTTGACATAGGGAGTGAGGTGTTATTGGAGGTTTTGGTGGGCTTCAAAGTAGAAAATTCCACACGTCTAAATGAGTTGAATCCCAGGCAAAGATGAGGGAGGAAACTAAAGGAGCTCTGACCCAAATGTTTAATGCCTCTTTGGCCGTTGGTGAGGGGTCAGAGGACCGGAGAATACGAACGTGATTCCACTTTTCAAGAAGGGGAATTACAGACCAATGAATCTCATATCAGTGGATAGGGGAACTATTGAAGAAAATTCTGAAGGAGAGAATTAATCTCTACTTGGACAGGCAAAGTTTGATCACAAATAGTCAGCATGGCTTTGTCAGACATAAGTCATGCTTATCCACGCAATCAATACTTGACTGAATTTTCGAGGTGGTGAATAGATATAGATGAGGGTAGTGCAAGTTGATGCAGTTTACATGGATTCCAGCAAAGCCTTTGATAATGTCCCACGTGGGAAACTGATGAAGGTAAAAGCACATAGTATCCAGGGTAACTTGGCAAGTTAAATCCAACACTAGGTTAGTGGCAGGAGGGAGAGGATGGTGGTAGAAGGCAGTTTGTGTTACTGGAGGCCTGGTGGTGCCATACCACAGGGAACAATGCTGGGTCTCTTATTATTAGTGATATATATAAATGATACAGAAGAAAATGTGGGATTGATGGGAAATATGACACAAAGATTGACCAATGAAAATCCTAGATATAGACAGATTAGTCAAATAGGCAGATCAGTGACAGATAGAATTTAACCCTCAAAAGTGAGACGATGCATTATGAAGTAGCAACAACACAAAAAGGAGTATGAATTAAGGGTAGTACACTAGGAAGTTAAGAACAAAAGGATATTGGGGCACTGGTCCACAGATTCTAAAGGCACAGGTTGGGTATATAAGGGTGGTTAAGGCAGCATTCGGGATACTTGCCTTTATCAGTCATGGCATAGATTAAAAATGAGTAGAGATTGTGTTCTAGCAGTATAAAACTTTCATTTTGCCAGGTGGAGGAGTACTGGGTAGCTCTGGTCACCGAACTACAGGAAGGATGGGATTGCCCTGGAGGGGGATCAGAGGAGGTGCACCAGGATGTTGCCTGGGTTGAGGCAGTTTGGCTTGAAAAGACACTAGATAAGCTTGGGTTGTTTTCTTTAGAGCAGGGAAGGCAGATAGGGGACCTAATGAAGGTAAATAAGATAATGAGGGCTTGAACAGGGTGGTCAGAAAACAGCTGTTCCCCTTAGTTGAACGTCAATAACAAGAGGCATAATATTAAGAGCAGGAGGTTTAGAGGGGATTTAAGGAAAATGTTTTGCACCCAAAGTGTAGTGGAATCTGGAATGCACTGCCTGGGAGGGTAGTTCAGGTAGGAAACCTCACCACCTTTTAAAAACTACTTGGGAGGAGCACTTCAAATGCTCTCATGTTCAAGGCTATGGGTCTAGGGCTGGAAAGTGGGACTAATGTAGATTTAAGACCACAAGATGTAGAGCTGGATGTAGATTTAGTAGTTTTTGCAGTCTTGATGGCCAAACAGCCTCTTCTGTACAGTATGATTCTATGAACTATAATGTTGTAATGTTCATTGTTTCATGAGACACAGAAAACAGCATTGCAAATTTATGGCACAGAAGACAACTATTCGACAATGTCTTTAAACTGACTGAAAAAGTGCTTTCTAGCCTAAACTTTAAAATAAGCCTAATCCCACTTCCATCTTTTGAGCCATAGCCGTGCAGGTTGCATCGCTTCAAGTACGTGTGCAAGGAATTTTACATAGGGAGGGTTTCTGCCTATCCCACCCTTTCAAGCAGCAGGCATCCATTACACTGTGGCTGATTAAAACAAAATGGTTCTGCCTAGTTCCCCTCTAATCCTTCCAGCAATCATATCAAATCCATCATCCAAGTCATCAATCTCCCTGCTGGAGGAAATAAAGTGTTTCACACCTCACTCTTATCTAGGCATCTCAGTTTTGTACATTAGTTAAGTCTTCACACAACCTTCACTTTTCAATAGGAAATTCTCAGCCCATCCAATTTATTCATAGCTAAAAATTTTCAATTCCTGGCAACGTCTTTGTGAATCTCTTTTGTAACCCCCTCATCCATTCATATTCTTGTAATCAGAATTGTACACAATACTCGAGGTGTGATCTAATGCATTATACAGTTCTAATTTAACCTCCCTGCTCTTACATTCTGTGCAAAATATCCCATATTACCTCTTAAATCACCTTATCTACCTGTCCTCTAATATACCATTCATTGTGCATTCCCTTGCCTCTTTGTCCTCCCTAAATACCTCACCTCTCTGGTTTGAACCCGAATACTTGTTGTCACCACCTTCCCACTCCATCGATATCGCCCTACCTATGTATTCTTCTTTCTCAATCATATCACAAATTTTTGTTATTTATGAAGCCCCCTACACTTAAGCATTTGACACCTATCTGAAAAGCAAGGAACTTAACTACAAGTTGTAATTTCTCCTCCATGGAGACATGTAATAGCAATGTCACTGCATTGTTGCTGCAATGTGTATTTGAATTCCAAAAGTTATAGTAAAGCACGCAGAAATTTCAAATTAATTTATTTATCTCTATATTACATTCTTAATTTGAATTCCATTCGAGTTGTTTTTAAAACTCATTACAATATAAAGAAGGCCAGATTTTTACACATTTTTTCTAATCTTTTACAATTTGTAAAAGCAGAAAACTTGCGATTTAGAAAATGAGTGGAAAATTCCATGCCCCTTCCAAAAAACACAAGTGAACATTTTGTTTTACCTCTATTTACATTTGCCTTCTGTATGGAGAGGTGGTTTCTAATTATTTCATCAATATTCACAATTAAACAGTAGCTTGCTCGCAATCACAAGAGAAAGTGACGAACCTAACATTTTGTACACGGGGCTGGAGATTTATTTTAAAGTAAACAGAATCAAGCAAAAAAGCAATCACACTTTACATTGAATAGCTTGTGTTTGCATCATTACAAAAGTGCATAGTGGCCTTTGTTGTAATTTGTCTGCACAGGATTTTCTCAATAGCCAATTCTATAAATGGTCTTGGAGAACTATTCATGTAACAAAAGTTCTTGGTTCTGAACAAAAATTCTTCCACAAAGGATTACTATTAAGTGTGCATTTTCTTACATTTCAATTTATATTACACACTGACAATCAAATTGGAACCTTGAGGTCTTTAGATTTTTGCACATTTTTGTTTGACAACTTATTATTTCTGTTGCTGCATATGAGTTTTAAAAAAGGCATTTCCTGCATGAATCATTTCCCCCTTTGGTTAGATGACAAAATCTCTTGCAGACTTTTGGACCAGTGTTCTCCAAGAATGTCAAATGTTAATTCTAAACACAAAATTTTGACAATCAATCAATCACTCTACTAAAACTGATGAGCTTTGCTTGACATGGCAAGGTATAACTTATAAAGGCTGTACTTCATTGTAGAAGCAACATAAAGTTGCTGTATTGGTGGTCAGCATCAAAAATTTTTTTTTGAATTGCTTCCATTCCCACAAGGTTATTTAAAAAAAAACAAAAAAAATTCAATAAATAAATAATGCCAAACATTACCTTTCATTGCATCACAACCTAAATTCACTCAATTAGAAAAGTATAAGCAGAACTTATTACAATGAAAAGACAAAGAAAACAACACTTGAGGTTAGAGCCCTGGGTTCTTTTGCATGCATTAGTGGATCATCTATTTTAATAACAATAAGTTATTATTGTAATTTCTATTGACCAGTTGATGACAGTCATTTCTGAATGCTGCCCCAAAACTTCAGTTTTAACCCATTGGATTTCCAAGAACAATTTCAAGTACAAAGAAATGTCAACAAAATATTTCGTTTGCCATGATGCATTGTATCTTTGCAGGCTAGCAAACGGCAACACAATGAATTATTGAAATTCATCCTTTAAGAAAACATGATGGACAGCAAATTTCTGATTAATTTTAATCCCATTCATTGTAATTTGTCTGAAACAAATTCTAGAGTGAATCCATTTTTAAACTTCAAGCAGACTTGTGAAAAACCAGCTGAACAAAATATTTGTTACAAAGAAAGAACACTTACTTCTTCATTCAAATATAGATGCCAGATTCAGATACTAGTAGATTGAGCAGATTCTTTTTTGTACAAAATTTAAGCAAAAGCATTACTGGACCAACTCCAAGCACTAAGAGAAATAGCTTAACTCTCCCATTTCTGAGCGAAGATACTAAGTTCCCAATTAAATCTGTAATTTTGGAATAAAATTGGCTTTGAGAAATAGACAACACAAAACAAAGAAAATCATAAATGCAAAATAACATTTTTGCTGTTGAGTAGATGGCTTTTAGTCTTTTTTCTGGGGAATACATCCTTCCATTTCTAAAACTTCTGGCCAGCCTTCATATTTGTTTGTATTTTTATTATTCTTTATGAGCTGTAAGTGGAAAAGATCTACATTAGAACCAGAACGCAAACCAATGATGAAAACTGTCATGTTTACATATCTGCTAATTTGCTTTTTCAAAATGGGATTCCGGTTTGATTTGAGTAAATACAAAAAGTTGCCATTCTTTATGTGAATCTGTAAAGTGCAGAACAATCAGTTAAATTGGGACAGCAAGGTCATCAATCTGATCCTGAACATTTACAGGTATTCAGTAGGGATTGATGAACTGTAACCAGGCACACAAATTCTCACAATACTTCTTTTCATTCAACAATAGAGGTGAAATGTAGAACCATTACTGGTGCAGTGGAAAATATCAAATGCAGTGCTGGTTAGAGATTAAATCCGGGAAGCATATGTCGTTGTGCCTTACTTTCACACCAGGCACAGCATTTAACTGCTGAGCTGAAAAATCATTTACGATCCTAGGTTTATTCCCAAACAATTACTTACCTCAAAATATTAATGTTCTGCCTTTCTCATCAACATGAAAGGTGAGCAAGCGCTATGCAACTGGAATTTAACAGACTAATCTCACTATATTTTCAAACTTAGTAGTGTTTAATTGTGTTCAGTGTTAACCTAAAAGATACGCACTGATCTCCTTACTTTACTGACAGCTTTACGGAGTAGAGAGAGATTCAAGTCAAGTGTTTCACCTCATTCTTTACACCATAAAGAATGAATATATTCTTCAGTGATTTGCTTCCCTTTCACTGGGAAAGTAAGAAAAACCACTTTAAAATATTCCAAATTACACTCATATGTAAACAGGTTTTGCTCTTGTGCAGTCTCTTCATGAATGTGAATCCAATTAAGAGTGCATGCAGAACACTTTGCTGAGCGCAAATATAAATACTGAAGAAAAATTGCTTAAAAACTTTCTTTATTCTAACTATAAGGTCTGTATGTATATTTTTCAACAGTATAATGAGCCAGCACAATAGAGCATGATTTACTGCTGCAACCAAGAAACTGCCACTGCAAAAAACTCAGCTAATGACAGAAAATAATATAACTCAGTGAAGTTATAAGTTAGGGGAAACTGCAGAGAATTTCAGCACAGTCAGTTTTTAAAAGGAAAACAGGAGACATTCATTTCACCTGTTCAAAAGGACTCTTTGATTGAATTCCTTTTGCACCAACAAAAATCCAGTTGTCTCTGAAGGCCAGATTTGAGATGGAGGAACTTCCTAAGTCACTTACAAGTTTCCGTGCTTCATCATTAAGTCTGCAGCAAAAAAAGGACTCCATTAAAATCAAGTGAAAACAATTTGCTCATAAAGTCATAGAATCATAAAGATATACAGCACAGAAACAGACCCTTCAGTCCAACTCGGCCATGCCGACCAGATGTACTATAGAAATCTAGTCCCATTTGGCAGCATTTGGTCAACATCCCTCTAAACCCTTCCTATACATATACCAATCCAGATGCCTTCTAAATGTTGTAATCGTACCAGACTGCACCACTTCCTATGGCAACTCTTCCATATACACACCACACTCTGCGTGAAAATGTTGCCCCTTCGGTCCCTTTTATATCTTTCCCCTCTCATCTTAAACCTATGCCCTCTGGTTTTGGATTCCCCCACCCCAGGGAAAACACCTTGCCTACTTACCCTATCCATGTCCCTCATGATTTTATAAACCTCTATAAGATCACCTCTCAGCCTCCAACACTCCAGGGAAAATAGCTCCAGCCTATTCAGCCTCTCCCTACAGCTCAAACCCTCCAACCCTGGCAACATCCTTGGAAATCTTTTCTGAACCCTTTCTAGTTTCACAGCATCCTTCCTATAGGAGGGAGATCAGAACTGCACGCAATACTCCAAAAGCAGCTGAACCACTCTCCTCTAACTCTACTGAGCACAAATGCTTAGTTTAAAAGCAGGTTACCATATGATTACAAGAATGCTTATACTCCACCCACAGCAAAACATATACTGCCGAATCACCAAGTACAACATCAACACCCAACACTGGGAGATTTGTGCTGATGCTTAATGCAAATTGTTACTGAACTGCAAAATTTTATATCTGTATGGAAAAATATACAGAGCTACCGTTTAGGAGATGCACAGGAACCAAGGGTCCTTTGAAAAAAATCTCCTTGAAAAACAATCTGCAGCCTTTCCTACATAGAAACAAGAGGAGCACACAATCCTAACTTGCAACTACATTATCATTACTTCACTGTTACTAGGTCAAATTCCAGGTACACCCTTCCTAACAGGAAGTTGGGTGTCCTACCACATGGATTGCAGCAATTCAAGAAGACAGCTCAGCACAATCTCAAGGACAAGAGAATGGGCAACAACCGCTTGCTTAGAAAGTGAAGCCCGTATCTATTGATGTAAAGAAAAAATGTACGCAAAATACCAAACAGAGAACCACAACGTTGGAATGGATTTCTAAATAAAGTTTTGTGCATTTATAATGATACCGGGCTTCTGGATTCATAGAATCCCTGCAGTGTGAATGCAGGTCATTCAGCCCATCGAGTCCACACCGAACCGCCAAAGAGCACCCCACCAACACCCACACCCTTACCCTATCCCTGTAACTCTGCATTTCCCATAGCTAAACTACCTAGCCTGCACATCCCTGGACACTATGGGCAGTTTAGCATAGCCAATCCACCTAACCTGCACATTTTTGGACTGTGGGAGGAAACCGGAGCACCCAGAGGAAACCTTATGCTGACACGGGGACAATGTGCAAACTTTCCACAGACAGTTGCCCGAGGGTAGAATCAAACCCAGGATCCTGGCACTGAGAGGCAGCAGTGCTAACCACTGAGCTGCCATACTGTGCCAAATTACACTCATAACTACGGCCCTTCTACTTGGAGATAAATTTCAAATATACAGCATTGTAAACTAAAATTGTCTTGAATATCATTTAGACATAGAATGGAGTATGGGGGAGGAGTTGCTCCCTTTCGCACATGGTCAGAAATATTTGTCTGGGTGGACAGCACAGGAGAAACATCAGGCAAGGCTCTCTGCGTGGGATCGTTACCACCTAGATCATTACACAGAGGCCAGGAGAAATACATTTGTAGTCGTCTCTTTTAAATCACTTCTTGACCAAGAGTAAATGTCTTTGCTGTTGCCCAATCTTTAAACATATTTCCCACTGCAACTTATTCCTTTACCCCTTCCACCACAAGCAGGTTTACAGTACCACAATATATCATATAATCATCAATTTGATCGTTAAAGTTGGTGAACCTCCATATCACAAAGGCCATTTACAAAATTTAAACATATGTTACATAAAACATGCATGCATGTTAACTTTGGATTTTTTTCTTTTTCATGAAAAACATAGTTCCAAGTAATATGAGAGAGAGAGAGAGAGAGAGAGAAAATTTGGAAAATGGTTGATTTGACAAGTTACTTTTCCACAGCAGTACAACTTTAAATTAAAACACTGACTAAATTGACAAACACATTAATTCATAAAGGAGCAGGTAATCACTAACTTGGTTGCACTATCATCGTAAGTAGCCATTAACACTACTGTTCCATCCTGCAAGGACTTCAGGAAATCAATGAAAGGTTTTACATCTGTGGAGAAGAGAAAAATCTTCAGATCAATATTCACTGTATCTGCCTTTAGCCATATGGATCCAAATATTTATCTGTCATTTGCAGTATAGCATTTAAAACAAATCATATTCAGAGAGTGGTAAAAGACAGTGAACATCCACAGACTGGTAAACCATACAGACTTCAAGTGATAGCAATTCAGTGGGTAATTTGTGTAATGCCAAGAACACAGGTAGTCTGATATTTAAAAAAAAACTGTACTCTCTTACTTAAATTTTCTTAAAATGAACTCTTGCAGACATTTTAAATTGCCTGCTGTCAAATATAGAATAAAGAAGCTGTCTGCTTCTAGAAATTTCAAGGAATTACTAGGACAAAAGTAAACTCAATACCTCCTTGAATACAATCCTCCTTGCATTTTATGAGCATTTCAGCCAAGCCAATGTAAAGGACTAGTAGAGAAAACATCTACTTCAGCCAGTTTGGAATAAAAGAGGCCACTAAATGCAGTGTGTTGATTGGATCTTAACTTTGATAGTTGTCACAATAGGTTGTGGCCAGGACATCAAAACCCAACTTGTTAGACAAGTCAGAGATAACAAGAACTGCAAATGCTGGAGTCAGGGACAACACAGTGTGGAACTGGAGAAACACAGCAAGCCAGGCAGCATGAGAGGAGCAGGAAAGTTGATGTTTTCTGAAGATGGTCCCAACCCGAAACGTCAACTTTCCTGCTCCTCTGATGCTGCCTGGCCTGTTGTGTTCCTCCAGCTCCACAATGTTAGACAAGTGGCTAAACCCATAACCCCAGTCACATGACTAAAGTTTCTGGTTTGTTTGAATCACTTTTAACCACTCAGCCATTTGTCATTTGCTGATAATAGCAAAAGAGTAAGCAGCTGTAGGCATGGCTAAATGCCTCCCTCCCTGCAGAAGTCTGATTTCTGCAACGAAACTTGTGTTTAGTCTGAAAAGCAAAAACAATCTCACTCAACAACTGCATCTTCATCAGCGATTCAACTAGTTGGAGCTCTACAAAAGATAGTGCTATACACACTCAATGGAAAGACCTAGATTAGCACTGACTCAGTTAACTTACTGGATTCTCTAGCTCACATGAACTAATTCTAATATCTTGATAATAAGTAATTTTTAAAACTGTGTTTACAACATACATCGTTACAGTCTATAGTACTAAGTTAATAGTATGTTAATTTTTAAAAGTGTGGTTTTATTTAAAAGCCTGAAATCTTGGTGGCACTGTTCTGCCAGTTAATTGCAGGATGTTCAGATTTCTTCCTTCAATGTTAATGGACCGGATTGCAACAACATGAGATCACGTTTTGAAGCTAAATGTGTATGACATGCAACATTGCATTAAAAAAATGTACAAAAACTCACTAGCGTGGGAACAAGAAGCCATCACATTAGAACTTGTCCTGTTCTACAATCAGCAGTCTGGTTTACAGGAATTACTCGAAACTTGAACAACCAAACTGTCAGTTTCCGCAATCTTTACTACGATAGCTGCCTTTAAGTATATTCAAGGCTGAGACAGACATATTTTTAATCAGTAAGGAGATACAGGGTTATAGGGAAAAGCCAGTAGGGTGGAATTGAAGATTATATCAGTCATTTTTTCATTGAGTGATGGATCAGACTGAATGGGCTAAGTGGCCCACTTCAGTTCCTCAGTTTTATGGCCTTATTTGCCATTTTAATGAGTAACCCTTATTATTCCTTTGAACAGACTAGTTTATATACACTGGGTCATTTCACGTGAATATTTAGAGTTGAGGATTGATCATCAATAAGCAAAGAGATCACTTTTAAAAGGCAAAATGTAAATTGCGTACCTCCACTCCACAGGTCAAAAACTTTAGTTTCCAATACATTACCAAGTTTGCCTGTGAACAACCACAAAAAAGGTATGAATCATAATGTACTAAAGCAATATAGAAAAGTTCAAGAAAAAAAATGAACAAAGAGACACAAACTGTACTTGGCCGTAACATTAACAATGGCCATATTAATAAATAAATCAGTCTAATTGAAACGAGGCATTTTTTAACAAGACAAAAAACTGTTGATATTCCGTCTCCAGCCAAACATTCCGCCCTCAATCTTTTAGAAAATCTGTAAGTTGTGAATAATATTCAACAATTATAAATCACTGTTTATATACAGATAAGTTATACACAAAGTTTGAAGTGTAACCAAAATGAAAAAAAAACAAGCAGATAAGGGAGGCAAATTTGCAGAAAGCAAATAGATTGAGCAATCCAACTCACTAATATAACATAAAAAAGATATTCTGAATGAAGCAATTTTCATAACTAATGAAGAAATTGATCAAACTGGGTAAGTTCACTTACCATCTATTGTAGCAATATTCATTCCCCGACCAACATTGTTTTTAACACCACTCATTATTCTGGAACATAATGAACAATTTTATCAGATTTGTAAAGGTTTGTTTTCATGTTTGTTCCAGTTCTGAAGGCTCACAGGTAATAAAGGGGACTTGCAGGTATTGTGTTGACATATCACATGCCTAGTCCGAGGATTTTTGTTTTGTCTAGATAGAGTAAATGTTTCAACTTTAATGATTTTTTCTGCTCAAACTGAGCTTATCATTTTGCATTGAGAGTAGTGTTCTTGGTTTGTTCTGAAAGTGCACGTGAATCAACTAGTCTACTGTCACATTTGTAGTACAAGTGTCATTCAGTGAAACACCAGCGTAACACTGTTTGACACATCCTGGTCAAAATGGAGAACAGAGCAGAAACAGGTTCCATAATGTTCTGACAGGCATTCTTTTGCATTTAAATGGCAATGACTTGAATTTTACTTGAAAAAGATGTATTGGAAGCAGTATTTTACTTAAGATAATTGAGCATTTATAAAGTTTATCCTTCAAAGACATGTATTTTACACTTATCTATCACTCTCATCTATACTGTGAATTTAATTTTGATCCCTATCACAACAAGATTACTTTTAGTCCTGCTTCCCCCCGAAGAGACATTTTGCTTCTCAAGATGACAAATCTTGGTACTGTGGATCAAACAAATCCTTAGCTTTGCAGTGCCAAGAATGCTCAAGAATCAGGTGGGTCTGTGTATGAAGGGTTTGAATTATTAATGTCAGTATTTCTGGAGCCTTTTTTTGAACCAGTATGAGACACACACTTCCTGGGGTAATAATGGGAATTTGTTTGCATAGTGAGTTTTAAGTGGACAGAGTAAACATTGAAGCGCATAAGCTTGCATTCAGTTAGAAGATCAGGATTTGTTTTTGCTTAGGAGTAAAAGCTTGTTAGCTTCTTCAGTTCACAGGAGTCCTCATAGAAGTTGATGTATAAAACACTTTCTCCAAGAGAGAGTTCTGAAATGTTAGGAAATAGCTTAACTCAGTGTAAGGGCTTTAGTTGAAAGCTCCAGAACAAAAGTGTTTGGATAGAACCCCGAGGGGTTACAGAGTCATAGAATCATACAGCACGGAAACAGACCCTTTGGTCCAACAGGTCCATGCCGAACACAATCCCAAACTAAACCGGTCCCAACTGCCCACGCTTGGCCCATATAACGCGAAACATTTCTCATTCATGTACTTATCCAAATGTCTTTTAAACGTTATAACTATCTGCATCCACTAATTCCTCTGGAAGCTCATTCCACACACAAACCACTACGTTAAAAAAAAAAAAAATGCCCCTCATGTCTTTCCTAAAAATTGTTCTCCTCTCATCTTAAAATATGCCCCTTGTCTTGAAATTCCCACTCTAGGGAAAAGACATCTGCTATTCACCTTATCTATACCCCTTATGATTTTATAAACCTCTATAAAGGCCAATCCTCAACCTCCTACGTTCCAGTGAAAGACATCTCATCTTATCCACCGTCTCCTTATAACTCAAACTCTCCATTCCCAGCAAAATCCTGGTAAATCTATTCTGAACCTTCTCCAGTTGAATAATATCCTTCTTATAACAGGGCGTCCAAAATGGGACAGACTACTCCAGAAGAGGCATCACCAATGTCCTGTACAACCTCAACACAACATCCCAACTCCTATACTTAGATGGTCCGAGCAATGAAGGCAAGTGTGCTAAACGCCTTCCTAACCACCCTGTCTACGTGACGCAAACTTGAGAGACTTACGTACCTGAATGCCCGAGTCTCTGTTCTACAACACTACCCAAGACCCTACTTTTAATTGTGTAAGTCCTGCCCTTGTTTGTTTTGCCAAAATGCAATACTTCACATTTATCCAAACTAAACTCCACCTGCCACTCTTCAGCCCATTGACCCAATTCATAAAGATCTGCTTGCAATTTTCGATAACCTTCTTCACTGTCCCAAGATTGGTGTCATCTTCAAATTTACCAACAATTCCTTCTATATTCTCATGTAAATTATTTATATAAATGACAAAGAAAAGTGGACCCAGCACCAATCCTTGTGGAACACCGCTGGTCACAGGCCTATCCAAAAAAAACCATAAAACTCTAGACTTCCTGATGTTAAGCCAAGTTTGTATCAACTGGCAAACTCACGGTGAATCCCACGTGATCGAAATTTACTAATTAGTCTACCATGAGGAACCTTGTCAAAGGCTTTACTAAAGTCCAAGTAATCAATGATTACTGCTCTGCCATCAATCTTCTTGGTTACTTCCTCAAAAAAACTCAATCAAGTTGACAGACATGATTGCTCTCCCACAAAACCATATTGATTTTCCCTAATTATTTCTTGCCTCTCCAAATGCACATAGATCCTACCTTTCAGAATCACCTCAAAGAACTTACCCACCACTGTCGTCAGACTCACAGGTCTATTGTTATGTAAAGCTAAGAACCTTTAAGGTCAGTAGTGTGGCTAATCAAGAAATAGGCTCTCAAGTTGTTAATACCAGGAATTAAAAGAAACAGTTAAGCCAAACAACTGCCATTTAAGTGCCCTAAACCCCAAAGGACAAATGAAAGGAGGAGTCCATTCAGCTGCTTTTACATCAACCATAAACTAATTGTATGGTCATCTCAATTATTTATCTATCTTGGCTCAATATCTCTTCATAACACTTTTTTTTAAACTCACCAGTTTTAGGCTTAAGCACTATTTGTGCCACCATTCACAGTCTTTTGAGAGACAGAATTCCATATTTCCACTATCTTTTGTCAGAATACTTCCCGATCTCAATCACAAATGGTCTAGCTCCAATTTTATAATCCTCATTCTTGATTCCCATAAAATAAAAGCTTTTCAACTGTATCTATTCAATTGAATTATTTTAACAATTTAACCACCTGCATCAGATTGTCCTTCAATCTTCATTGTATCCACGAATAAAGGGCTGAATTTATACAATCTATCCTCTAGCGCCAAGGCTGCACGACAGTTTGATATCACAGGAATGAAAGTGAATGGACAAGAGAATGACTTAATAGACTAAACTTCAAGGTACAATACATCGAGACACATCTTCAATGCAATTCCGGAGCAGAAGTAAATCAATACTTACATTTTGTCTTCAACACAGATTTTGGGTCCAACAACATTTGCTGCTCCACTTGCCATTTTAAATGCAAAATGCTTCTCAGGGCAAGGCTTTGCAAGACCACATTTGTACTTTGGTGGCTTTGTTGCTGTGACAAAGTTTTAAAAAGTTTCAAAAAAAAAAAAAAAGGCCTTCTTATCCACAAACACAAATGACCAAATTATCAGATTATAATAAAGGCAAAGAAAGTGACTGATTTGCAATTAAGGATTATATGCTTTTCGCTCCTTCTTCCATCACAAAGCCATTCAACTAAGTTAGAAGTCAAGTAGATTTGGTCATAAACTTAGCTTTACACATTACAAGAACAAAGTATTACAGTTACAGAAAATCAGTAGTGAAAACAAAAAAAATGCTGGAAATAACAGAATCAGAAATCAGTTCTTTGGACAAATACAGACATACGTTCAGGTCAACGACACATTATCCGAACTGGGGAAAATTATAAATGCAATGTACTTTCAACATGTCAAATAGGCTAATGTTGAAAAAGAACAAAAGGAAAATTCAGAGATGGCATTGTTGGGGGCAGGTGGGGGAGGTGAGTGAGCGGAGTTGATTGGAAGCATTCAATCACCAAATAATAGGCGGGCAGAGTTAAAGGAATTAGTAATGGGACAAGAGTCAAAAATGTGCCCAGAAGTTGTGAATAGCAGAATAATGAACGGTTGCTGTGCAAAAGCAAAGCAAGAGAAAACAAATTAAAGCTGGCAAGGGAAAATTGGGAAACAATATGAGGTCAGTGAATATGATCCTAATTGGTGAACTCAATGTCAAGTTCAGATGGATGTCAAAATGCCCAATCGAAAGATAATGTTCTACTCCTCAATCTTACAATGAGCTTCCCTGCAATACTAATTTGAGGACAGATGTCAGCATGAAAGCAAAGGAATAATCTAAATGGTCAGGAACCAGAAACTCAGGGACATGCTTGTAGACTGCATGGAGGGTGTTCTGCAAGATAGTCACTCAATCCACATTTGGTCTTGCTAATGTCTGCAGACTGTATCATGAGGAGCAATTTTTAAAAAAATATTCATTCATGGGATGTGGGCGTCAATGCCTAGGCCAACATTTATTCCCCACCCCTAACTGCCCAATTGGCCACATTGCTGTGGATGGAGTCACATGTAGACCAGTTTCCTTCCCTAAAGGACATACGTGAACCAGATGGGATTTTCCTGGTAATCAGCAATAGTTTCATGGTCATTACTGGACTCTTAATTCCAGATTTTATTGAATTCAAACTTCAAAATCTGCCATGGTGGGATTTAAACCCAGGTCCCCAGAACATTACCTGGGTGTCTAGATTAATTGTCTACCAATAAGGTCAACATCTTCCCAAATACAGTATAATAAGTTAAAAGTATACATAAATTACAGATTGACCTTGAAGAAGTGTTTGGGACTTGAACAGTGAGGACAGAGGACCATTGCTAAATCTGCTGTGCTTGCAAGGAAAGCAGCCCTGAGAAAAGGATGGGGATGCTGGGTGATTGAGGGTGTGGACCAGGAGTTGTAGATTAGTAGCGTTACACATTGTACGGCTACCCAAGGTCATTTAAGATTGAAGAAACAAATCTCAGCTCAAAAAGTCTCTTGGCGACATACAGCATTGTTGAGGTAGAAGATGATGAAATGCCCTATACAGACAGTCCCCAGATTGCAAATGGATTCCATTCTTGAGGCCGTTCACAAGTTAGAACACAATGCAGGACAACATAAAATAACATTTCTAAGTACAAGAAACATTCGTTTTTCAGATCTTTAACATTACACCCCTGTATGGGATTGCATTCAAAAGTACAAGCTTTCATAAGTCAGACATTTGTAAACTGAGGACATCCTGTACTTTAAATAAAGTCATGGCAGGCCACACATTGAAGTGACAAAGTTCAATCTTTCTACTCGAAAAGTTCCACCTTTCTGTAACAGGGAATCCTGTTACTTTTGAACCTGGAAGATCACTTAATACCACAACACTTTAAAGGCACATGCATGGTTACATGCTTTGAAAGAAAGTAAGCCAGTTGAGAACTGAATTAGTATGTGCAATATAGATCAATGTACCTCATTTGCGTTGCAAGCTGGATTCAAGTAAAGCATTAAGACTGCTGCAGAACACTCCAGAAAAGCTTTCCTAATATGCACATAATTTAAGGTGCAGCATTCCAACTGGTTAAGTTTCTTTGGAAGATAACTGAATCAAATTCACATTTTCATTCTGAGATAAGCAATTTGCTGCTGCAACCCAAAAGTTTTTCATTTTTGTGTTATTTATTAGCATTATTTTAAAATGTAAACTTACGTTTTACTTCTACTTCAGCTTGTGATCTGGCTACAAAATTAAAAAATTAAATGGTTGTTAGCCATATGATTAGTTTACCAATATGAAGATATGTTCTGTAAACTCACATTTTGAAATTTGATTCTAAATATTTTAAATTGTTTATTCAAATGCATTTTTATCAAAGTTTCTATCAATTTGGAAGGAAGCTTTACAGCAAGAGGACCTTACACCTGCAAAAGCTTTGCATGCCCAATAACGTGCATAAAACATGATGCAGTTAAAGTCTACTATTATTGTTCTCACTATTTTCTTCCACTTCTAAGTTACAGGTGATTTGCAATTTCAAACCAGAGTCAACCAAACTTAGAAGTATCTGTGGTCCCTGCTTAAAATTACAGGATTTCCAGCTCTGCCAATTATGAACCCTTCCAAATAGCATTCTGGGTGTATCTACACCCCGTAAGGCTGCAGCAGTTCAAAAAGGCAACTGAACACACTTGCTCAAAGGCAACTGGGAATGAGCAACAGATGCTGGTTTAATGTTCAGTAAACAAATAAAACAATGTTGCACATAATATTTTGACCATAGGGGTTAGGGAGGAAGGAAGATTAACATTACAGGGATGAGTCTCTGCCTGGTCCCTAATGTCTGGAAGCAATTGCTTACAGAGGATTCTACAGTTCATTGGACTTGAGTAATTAAACTGTTAACCTGTCAAGGTAGCCAGCCACAACCAAAGTTGTTAGGCCAGTCGTACCAGCACTTTAAAAAAATTACTGTTCTCCGGTTCTCAAGTCATAGAAATGTAGAAAATAAGTGCAGGAGCAGGCCATTCAGCCCTTCCAGCCTGATATTCATGGCTGATCATGCAATTTCAGTATCTCCTTCCCGCTTTCTCTCCATACCCTTGATCCCTTTAGCCACAAGGGCCATGTCCAGCTCCCTCACGAATATCTGTAGGCTGGCCCAACAGCTTTCTGTGATAGAGAATTCCACAAGTTCACAACGGAGCACTGGCTCTCAACTTGCCGAGTGCCATTCCTGTCTTCATCCCTTAGCCTTGTACATTTTCTTTTCAGATAATGGTAGGAAAAGGGAAAATGAAAAGGAGGCAAGCTTACCTAAACACTTATCTAAAGACAAAGCAAAAATGTAATCATTGTCAAGGTTGAATTCACAAGTAAACACTCAGCAGCATGTGCAATTTCATCTTACAACTGACTTCCAGTTTAAGACTTTTACACTTTAAGTGAAACCAATTTACTACTTCCACATTCTGTTCAAAACTTCACACCTCATTTTACGCTGATTAAAAATCCATTTTTGCATCTGTGTTCTTCAACTTAGTAGCTGTGAAAAATGATAGCTTGTTAGAGATTGTAACATTGAAGACATTGGAATAATCTATAGTTGCTACGTTTGATTCTTTCTAGAACAGGATCAAGATGCTGTTGGGAAGTTTTAAGTAGGCCGTAAGGAACAGTTTGAGAATCAGTGAACAGCAATTAATAAAACAAGCAGTTGAAAAGTCAAGCAATATCAGAGAAAAGGCTCTATGCAGCTGTAGTGCTGCTACTGGCTGCGTCTTTGCTGTTGAGATCAGAGAAGCCATTCGGTAGCTCCATGAGCAACTTGGGCTCAGTGGAGCCCTAGGGTGCCTATCAGTTCAGTGGATTTGAAAGGAAGCCATCAGCTAGAGAGCTGGAATTATGCCCCAGTGATCAGGTGTTGGAGCGCAGCCACACAAATAAAGTAGAATGCTGTCACAGGAGAAGATTGATCAATAAAGGTCATGACCAGTTATCGAGGCAGTCTAAGTTACAGTGGGTTTTGAGGAAAATGAATAGGTTTCGTCTTTGAAAGAGAACAGTAAAAACCTTCATGAGGGACACATAATTATGAAGGAATTTTGTGACTCTGTCCACCAGTTTTTGAATGGTTTGGTGAGAAATACGTAGGACGTGTCTTGATTGCATTTGCCATCTAATGTACAGTTCAGTGTGTTCAACCACACATTGCCTATTAATTCATGACTATCTCATGTAGAAAACAGATGTTATAGATTGCTTGCTTTGCTGATTTTTATACACCACATTTAGTCTGTCTAAAAAGCGTAGAATCTTGCAGCATATTTCTTTTAATAAGTAACTGGGATTTCAAATTACATCGACTTTAAACAATAGAAAAAATACTGGTCTCCGAATTGGTCTGATTGAATTTAGGTTTTAATCAAAAGCCGGAACCTAATTTGGAGTCTGGTCTGGGATCTTAACACTGAAAATGCAACATTTCCAGGCATATATATAATAATACTTACCAAGTATTGCTCCCAAATTTGTATCTATTTTGATTTCAAATATTTGCAGTGTGAAATAACCCACAAGCAAAAACACAACACCAGCTACCATAAACTTTATGGAACCTGAAAAAAAAGAAAGAAAACACTTTCAATTTGTAATTCAGTTGTAGGATCCTGAAGTCATAACCAAGCTGACTAAATTGCAACATTTCAAAACACATACACTACTGCAGCATCATTGAAAATATGGTTTTCGAGCGTGCTCATGATCTTGCCACAATTGAGATGCTGTGAAATATGATCAATGCGTTTCAATCAGAAATGTATAAATAATACTGAAAGAGATTCAGTAAAAACTCATTTGCAACACTGCTCACAAGCATAATACGAGACTGTTGGAATTAAGTGACCACCTGAATGGTCTAAGGTCTAATGACAGTAATTTCAAATTCAGTAATATTCTTGTATATTGGCATTAAAATCAGCTTTTGATTTTGCTTTTTTAAAATCCATTCAAGTGATATGGCCAAAAAGACAATCAAACTTTCAACAATGTCTTCACCAAAATTTTCATTTTAATGGAGCAAATGAAATCTGGAAAGAGCTGAAAACAGCCTCCATTGCATGCTGTGATGAAACCATTGATTACAAGACCAGGAAACACCAAGACTGGTTCGACAAGAGTGTCCACATCATCCAATACCTTGTCAACAAGAGAAAATCTCTGTTCTTAGTAGAACAACATCATCAGTGAGGCAAAAGAGAACTCATCAAATAGCAAAAGGTAGAGTTACAAAGAACAACTAAGGAAATCAGAGCCAATTGTGGGCTCAAAGCTAATGAGCTACAACTCTTTATTCACAAGCATGACATCGCTGCCATCCTTCTCTCCATCTTCATTGCCACCATTCTTCACTTTGTCAAGAACAAGGTTCCCAGTGGTTGTGGACGTTGTCTAGAGGATTGATTGAAAACTTTTCAATCTCCACTAATTGAAATCCAATAAGAAAATGACACTGACCTCACTTGTGGCAATTCAGTCTGCAGATGACAACGTCATCTCTGCTTTCTTGGAAAAGAATCTTCAAGCCTTACTTAATGCCTTCGTGGAAGCATACTGAAGAATTGGTCTCAGCCTCAAATCCTTTACCAAATCATTCTAGGTCAGGTTTGAATCCACCCGTCCATTAAGATCAACTCAGAAATTCTCCCAAATGCAGAACACTTCCTCACCTGGGAAGCTACATCTCATCTAAAGCTGACATTTATGCAGAGATTTAACATCACATCCAATCTGTGAGTTCCACCTTCAGATACCTAAGAATGAAAGTGTCAACAACCGTGACATCCAGGCTGATATCAAGATCCTAGTGTACAGGGCAGTCATTCTTCTGACTCTTCTATGTGTCTCTAAAACCTGGATTACCAATAGATGCCACCTCAAGACTCCTGAGAAGTACCATCAACTTTGTTTGAGATGGATTCTCTGGATCAGCTGGGAGGACAGTTGTACTAACATCAGTGTCTTTGAAGCAGCTAACAGTAGCAGCACTGGGGCCATAATCATCCATAACCAGCTCCACTGGGTCGGCCATGTGCTTAGGACGCCTCAGTAACGACTACCAAAGCAAATCATTTTAGCTCAGCTCAAGGCACTCAAATGAGAGGAAGACAGAGGAAGAATTTTAAAGCCTACCTAAAAGTTTCCTTCAAGAAATGCAATATAGATGTCAGCATATGGGAGACCCTCATTCAGAACAAAACAACTTGGAGGAAACTCCTGCACGACAGAACACAATTCTTTGAGAACAGCCCCTGGCAACACTTGCTAAATATGTGGTCAGAGATGTGGCTCAAGAATCAGGCTTATCAGCCACAAAAAGACTCACAGAAGAGCCCCAGACGAAACAACTTTAGCTACAGTTGATCATTCTTTACTTCCAGTCCTCCACAGCACTGCAGAAGCTCTTCAACGTAGTGTACTATGCCCAACCATCTCCAGTTGGTTCAATGATCTCTCCTCCAAGAGCAGATCAGAAATGAGGATTTGTTGACGATTAGCACCAGTTACAACTCCTCAGATACCGAAACAGGCTGTGTCCGCATGCAAGGAGATCCAGACCACACTGGGGTTTTGATTGACAAGTAGCAGTTCACACTGATACGGATTGCTGAAGTTCTCGCACTGCACCGAATCCTAAACCACCAGACCCCTGAACCTGAAGTTGTGCATGTATGTGTTTGTTGGTGGGGAAGGGAGGAGAGGAGCACCCTACTGAGATCACAATCTCCCTAGAAGTTGGAGAAGGGACTCAAAAGAGGGAACCCTCAATTTCAGGAAAGCTGGGAACCTGACTCATTTACCAACCAATTCCTGTGGTAAAATGTCAAATTCATAACCACCTGTTATATCATTGTTGCCAGTGAATGCCTGCCTGAACACACTTTCTACTTAAGCAATGAGCCACTTGCCTATCAGAACTCCAAGTTGAACAAAATATGATCGCAAAGTACTACAGGTAGAGAAAATTCTTCAATTGCATTACTGTTATTTAAATTTCTCAAAAAAGTGATCCATTATACGATCAAGAACAAGTCTGAAGCACAAGCATAAACAGTTGAACATACTGAATGAATAGGATTCTAAGGGTTTTGCATATAATACTGGAACAATTTTAAAAATGAACAACAGCAGTTTTTCAGCAGTCACTTGAATTTTGCATTTTAAATGTATATTTTCATTCTCTGGTTTATTGTATCTTCCTTTTTAGCCATTCTTACAGATGCAGATTTTGAAAAAAAACCGGATTGAAATTAGATTTTTAAGAGTGAGCTTGATAAAACATCCCCAATAATAAATAACTGTTGATGTAACAACAGCTCATAAATGAATCCACATCTCACACTAAATCAGTTACAATTAACTACAGTTTCCAAGGAAACTTGGAATTTCTTTTCCAATTTGTTCATGCAATGTGGACTCCTACATCAAGGTCAGCGCTCCTACATCAAGGTCAGCATTTATTGCTCATCCGTAAATGCCTTCAAGAACAGTGGTGAACTGATTCCTTGAAGCATTGTAGATCCATAGAGCTTTTAGGCAGCAACTTGCAGTGACTTAAATGCATGCCATTCTCAGTTGTTTATAAGATATAAAACAAGCATAATTTCAAAATTCTCATCCTTGTTTCCAAATCCCTCTAGGGACTTGCCTCTCCCTATGTATTTTGCTCAAACCCCACAACCTTTAGCTATGTCTGATCCTCTTGTGCATTGCCAAACACAAGTTTGCTATAATTGGTAGTTGTGCTTTCATCGGTCTAGAACCCAACCACTGAAATTCACTCCCCACACCTTTCTGCCTTTCAATCTCACTCTTCCATTTAAGACAATCTTTCACCAAATGTTTGGTGATCTGGCCTACATATTGTGGCTCAGTGTCGCTCTGTCTTATAAACACTCTTACAAAAGAACTTGCAATGCTTCATTAAGTTAAAAGAGCTTTGCATTCCCACTTTTTAAAGCATTCAGCAGTGAAATAATAGCAAATGATTAGCACCATAAATTGAATATATTTTTCAACCACAAAAATATTCCTGAAGCTGCAAACAGAATAACAATTCCATTTAGAATAACAACTGTTAGTCTCATTTTGGCTAAAAGAGTATTTAGTTACTGCTCTTTTACTTTTTCTACTTTTCTTTCGTTTCTTTTCAGTTTTTAATTCTTTATTCTATTTCCGCATACAAAGAGACACTAAGAAAGAGACTGGTGTGGCTCTGAAAATCGAAGAGGAATTTTCAGGTATCGGTGAATCAGCAACCAACTAAAATATCTGCTGAACTGAGTTATTGCATTGGGTCCAGGTTCAGGCTTCACATATTGGAAGAATGCTGGGGCAGTTTTGTTGCATTTGTATTTCATCGCACCAGCAAAGAAAGCCTTGTAAAATTGAATCAGAGATAGTAGGAACTGCAGA